GGATTAAACTATACCCTGGATTAAACTATAACCTGGATTAAACTACCCTGGATTAAACTATAACCTGGATTAAACTACCCTGGATTAAAGTATACCCTGGATTAAAGTATTCACAAACCTTTCCGTCCCTTTAGATAAAAACCGTCTCTGTGAACAACGTTGACCTGAATGGTAAAAGGTAACCTGTTTTTGTGAACGTTGTACATAAAAACAGTAAAATATTAAAATCAACCAGATCAGAGTTTAAAACTTCAGTTTGTAAAATAATGTATTACATGGATGGTTTTAATCTCTTCCAGTGATAATTCTTACAGGTCTTCTGTGTAAAACAAAAATCAGATTATTAGTAGTTTAAGAAGCTTTAATCCAGACTTGAGTAGATGAAAAGTGGAAGAGTTATTGGATTAACAACACAAACAGACGTGTCCTCCAGGCACACTGCTGGGATTATTCATGGTTAATCTGCAGCTTTATTTACCTGTTGTTGTCTCAGTGGGCTCGGCCACAGTCATCAGCCCCCTGGAGCTGATCCGCACCAAGCTGCAGTCTCAGAAGCAGTCGTACCAGGAGCTGAGCCACTGCATCCGTTCTGCAGTGGAGGCCGAGGGCTGGTGGTCTCTCTGGAGGGGTCTGGGCCCCACCCTGCTCCGAGACGTGCCCTTCTCTGCCATGTACTGGTTCAACTACGAGAGGAGCAAGAGCTGGCTGTGTGAGCATTACCAGAGCAGTGAGGCCACGTTCAGCATCACCTTCAGCTGTGGAGCTGTGTCAGGTTCTGTGAGTGTGTGTCCTGTGCTGCAGATTAAACCACAATAATCCCTGTGTTGAAGTCCCACTGTGGCTTTCAGGTGGCAGCCATCGTCACTCTGCCCTTTGATGTGGTCAAAACCAGAAGGCAGGTGCAGCTCGGGGAACTGCAAGCAAGCAACTGTAATTATTGACCTTTTTATTACACATTTACACAAACATTCAACAGTAATTGTAATGTTTTCACTGTTTTAACTATGAAACATTGGGTTGAGAAGACTGTAGAGAAATTTYACTGATTTTATAAAATAAACTAAGAACAAATGAGATGTGTGTTTGGTCGGTTATTTGTTGTAACAATGCTTCTTGGTGAAAACTCTTATCCTGTTGGAAAGTCTGTTCATTTCCCTTTTTAATGGGGCCACATTTGTAAGGAACATGCTTGTTGTGTGGGGTGAGCACACACACACACACACACACACACACACACACAACATGCATGTTGTGTGTTTGTGTGTGGTGAGCAGCAGAGCTGATGTGGGTTGTACACATGTTTATTAGTTATTACCAAGAAGCATTGTTACAACAGAAAAACATTAACAAACACTGTTTTTCTCACTTTTCTGCATTATTATTATTATTATTATTATTATTATTATTGTTATTGTTATTGTTATTATTAATAAGTTTGAATTGAAGCTAAATGAACTCAGGATAATTGTTGAATTGTCTGTTGTTGTTCCTGTTGTTTAAACATTGTTTAAGGTGATAAATGAGCTTCAGGATGAATTTAATCAGCGTTGTTACAAAGTTAAAACAGGAAGTCTTTAAGCTCTTTGTTTGTGAACTGAACACACCTGAGCTGTGATGTCAAACAGGAAYTGATGTCATCATACGGCTGCAGCTGAGCCCCATGTCCCCAGCTCCAGGGACAAACTGCATTTCCTGGTTTGTTTCTTTGAACTTGTGTTAACGGAMGATTTATCATTTAAACACAGACATGTCCTCTTGGTTTAAAGCTCATAAACACATTTCTACATTAGTGCAATAAAAACCTAAGATTTGTTGATGTTTCTTCATGAACCAACATGCTCCATCCTGTGCAGAGTGACTTAATAACTGGATTATTTCTCTGATGAAACCTCTGACTTTACTCTGGTTCCTTCAGCAGCAGGTGATGTTCACCTGTGGATTTATGGTTTCACACAGTTTCAGCCTCTTTAAAAGCTTTATATAGTGTTTAATATATATAGTGTTTAATATATATAGTGTTTAATATGTATAGTGTTTAATATGTATAGTGTTTAATATGTATAGTGTTTAATATGTATAGTGTTTAATATATATAGTGTTTAATATGTA